TTTACTTTGTTTTATTTTCTGTGTTGAAAAGTGATTTGATGAACACATTCAGGGAAATGGGATTTGGAATATGGAATTTGTTTGAAACCATTAGGGCCCAGGGATAACAGAAATCTCTGTTTTGCTTTAAATACACTAGCAGCAGTTGACAAGGAATATTTATCCATAAGTGGAAACACTGAGGATTTATTTTGTCCCCTTCACTAAAGCCTACTTGCTCTCGATGTGTCCTGGGTTGAGAGATCAGCTTCTGAGATCTCACATGGGCTCTGACTGAACGAGAAACCACTGCAGGAGGGGAGAATAGCCAGGGGCTGGAAGAAGACTCCTCAGGACACAGATCACTCTTGAAGCCTTGAGGATGTACATTTCCTGGGGTCTGACTGTTTCATCTTTCTGTATCTTGTAGATTGAAAAGCAGAGCAATGAGAAGCAGCAGAATTGCAGAGAGACAGGAGTCCAGGTGCTTGGAAGTGAGGGTGGAGGCAGCTCGGGAAAAGATTCAGCCCCAGACAGCTGCACCAGGTGGAGCAAAGATGTCTTCTATTGTGTAACATGCCAACTAGAAGGTGACAAGAGTCAGGAGCCCATGACCTTAAAGCTCCCTGTTACCCAGCACACCTACCAGATTTCCTAATCATTCTTTTATAATTAAAAACAGATATTTTCATATTCTTTAGAGTTGTTTTTGACATTAAAGTTGTTTTTGATTTTGTGCAAGTCAGCCAGAAAGAGTAAAAAGAAGAGAAAAAACTTATAGTAACTAAAATTTCTCAAGCCTTGAAAATAAAACATTACTGTTAATACTACTATTTGTTGAGGAGCTTCTCAGAACTGATCAATAACAAACAGATATTTTTTACTGTGAGCCAGGCACTGTTCTATGGGCTTTATATACAATAAAATGTCTTTCCAACTATGATGTACATTCCATCCTCCTCCCTGTTTTACTTCTGAGTAAGCTAAAGACTAGAAATGTTTCCAACCCAGAAAGTGAGCTCAGCCACCAGGCTTGGCTGCTTCTGATGTACTTCTACTAACCAAAATTTAAAAACTCACTTAGTACATTCATTCATAGAGTTACTCTTCGCACAGCAAGAGCAGTGGAGAGTCTGGTTAACAGTCTACAATCTGGAGCTACACACTGGCACGTGCACTGTAGTACTGGCAACAACGCAGTGGCTCATCCGGGGCAAGTCATGCACTCTCTACACTTCAGCATACTCCTCTGTAAAATGGGCAAGATTATGCCCATCTCTAAGGACTGTTTGGGGAACTAAATAAGATAATACTTGAACTCAACCTAGCACAGTGTCTGGCTCAAAGGAATGGAACTCATTATGATTCCTGATACTTACATCAGAAACCAAGGAGACCTCTGTATGTATCCAGAATGCTATAAATAAGGATCCTCTCATTGATTAGCGAAAATCTCACAAACGGTGCAGAGAAGTTATGTGTGTGTGAGGAGTTGAGGATGGAGGGGAGGTGTCCAGGAAAGGAGTTAAGAGCTCCGCACAAATGGACGGGTGATATTTCTGTCCCAAACGTTTGGGCTGAGAGAAACAGAAACAGGGCCGGGAGGTAGAAGTGGTCGTGGAAGGAGACTGGGATGGCCTTCAGACACTAAGCTTGGGCTGGGAAGCAGAGCCACTAAGAGGGGAGCTCAATGAGAACCAGTCCATGGGGAAAGTTCAGGTATCCCTCACTTGCTCAACTCTTGCTATCCAAACCTGGGAAGAGAATAGATTTAGATGAGAAGGACCAGCTGAGTCTAAATGGGCAGCAAGTTAAAGTCCCGGCAAAACAGCCAACCAGCCTGGCCAGCAGCCCCCGAGGTATAGATTTAGCTCAACCTTACTCAGTATTGCACAGGTGATCTATTTCTTTTATAATTAGCATGTGATGAGAGGAATCCTTTCTTTCATCTTGGCATGGGGCTCTGGAATGTCCAGTTACAATCCTGGTATGCTATCAGAAGATTTCATATCCCAAACCTTTGGCTGTCGTGTCACTGGTATGTCAGCCCTAACATAGTCTGAAAGGAAACAAAAGCCAGCACCTTTTTGATAACAATTAAAATTTTGGATTTATATAATGTGGCATAATGTGAGGGCCATTGTTTAGCTTTTGGCATAGTTATGAATGCCCAGGGCAGAACACCAAAGGAAAAAGTCTTCTTTGAATGCTTTCTCAGAACGAATCTGAGAGAATTTGCTGGTTAATGCAAATACATGTCCAAACAAGCACTGGTTTGCTTAGGGAGTACGCAGAGCTGGCGAGCCTCCCTTGGCACGCCGAGCATGAGTAATGCTTCATTTTAATGAGGGATCTTGGGGGTCTATAATGAGGACTATGTGCTATTTCCCATGTGTCTCTTTGGAACGTGGACTGATTCTACCCACAGTGGAAGACAGGCCATCAGAAAGTACATGGTTCCTGAAATCTGTGGGGTGCTACAAGATGCAAATAATTTAATAGCTTATAAATGGATTGGCAGAAATACACCCAGAGTTCCCAGAGTAAAGAACTTGCCTTTTCCACAGGTAAGCAAATATGAGTGCAAAGTAATGAGACCGTATTTGGGGTGGGGTGGGGATGTGACACGGATTTTTAAACTAAGGCTATAGACAGTTCCAGGTATGTTTTAAACATTGTGGCATCCCTGGAATAATTGTGTAGCCTCCCTACTTGACTCTTCCGAGAGACAACAGTCATTTGAATATAAGTTCATATGTATAAAGCACATAAAACATTTTTTTTTGAGACAGAGTCTCACTCTGTCACCTGGCTGGAGTGCAGTGGTGCGATCTTGGCTCGCAACAATCTCTGTTTCCCGGTTTCAAGTGATTCTCCTGCCTCAGCCTCCAGAGTAGCTGGGATTACAGGTGCACACCACCATACCCAGCTAATATTTGTATTTTTTTTTTTTTTTGAGACAGAGTTTTGCTCTTGTTACCCAGGCTGGAGTGCAATGGCGCGATCTCGGCTCACCGCAACCTCCGCCTCCTGGGTTCAGGCAATTCTCCTGCCTCAGCCTCCTGAGTAGCTGGGATTACAGGCACGTGCCACCATGCCCAGCTAATTTTTTGTATTTTTTAGTAGAGACGGGGTTTCACTATGTTGACCGGGATGGTCTCGATCTCTTGACCTCGTGATCCACCCGCCTCGGCCTCCCAAAGTGCTGGGATTACAGGCTTGAGCCACCGCGCCCGGCTAATTTTTGTATTTTAAAAGAGACAGGGTTTCACCATGTTGGCTAGGATGGCTTTGATCTTCAAGCTCCTGACCTCGTGATCTGCCCGCCTCAGCCTCCCAAGGTGCTGGGATTACAGGCGAAAGCCACCATGCCCAGCCCATAAATCCATTTTTAAGACATAAGTTTAGTCACATTGCAGGTGTGAGTTCTATCATTTAGACATTTTCTATCAGAAAAAAATCAACACTTAACATTTTGGATGAGGGAAAAAAGCTTAGAAAGTAATTAGGAAAACAAACTCTTCCCTAGTCCTTGCAAGTGGTCTTTACTGGTTCCTGGAGTGGCAATGGGAGGAGCTTATTTATTTATTTATTTATTTTTGAGACAAAGTGTTGTTTTGTTGCCCAGGCTGGAGTTCAGCTCACTGCAACCTCTGCCTCTCGGATTCAAGAGATTCTTATGCCTCAGCCTTCCAAGTAGGTGGGATTATGGGCTTGTACCACCATGCCCGGCTAATTTTTGTATTTTTGGTAGACATGAGGCTTCACCATGTTGTCAAGACTGGTCTTGAACTCCTGGTCTCAAGAGATTTGCCTGCCTGGGCCTCCCAAAGTGCTGGGATTATAAGCGTGAGCCACCGCACCCAGCTTGGAGGAGCTTTCAACCATGTGATAAAGCTCCTCCCACCTGGGCACGGTGACTCACGCTTGTCCACATGGACATCCTCTGGATGTGCCCTTAGATCCAGCCACAGGGTGTGACTTCCTGAAGCAAATTCCCTTTCTGCTCACATTTGGGGCATCATGCGATTGTTTATGCAAAGTGTGTCATGTACTGTAGTGACCTTTACTTTATATTTCAATTCCAGCTGGAGCAAGATGCTCCATGGAGATGGGGCCTCCCATAGAGCTCTAGGATTTGGGGGGATTAAGTACAGTTGAAGGGTGTTTGGAAGAACATTCGCCAGTCCTTCAGGCTTGAAGGCGGGGATGGTGACCCAGAACTCAGGACAAAAGAGTCCCAAGAGGCAGAAATGCTGGCAAGAGGGATCTCCTCTGTGCATGTTAATATGTCAAAGAGAACTTGGCATTATAGAGAGAAATAAGAAATTCTCTATGTTAAGATAAATAATTTTTGAAGTGTTCAAAACCTGATAAGAACTGAAATTAATGTGAAGCAGACTTGCTAGGCAAAAATTCTTTTATCAGATAAATCTGGCACCTCACATTTCTATCTGAATTGTGCACAACAGATCAAACGAAGATTTCTTGTGGTTTATTTACCCTGATATTTAAAAACAAAACAGTTAAATGCATTCTCCACATAACAGCTAATTCTGGAAGAGGTTTGAAATGGACCAGGGAAAATGTGCATTTTCACTTATTTCCTAGTAAGTTTAAAGTCATTGCTCTACGAGGTCACTTCTGTTCTCATCTGTGTTTGCTGTAACTCCCCTGCCCCCCAGCAAAAGCAACAACAACAAAATCCCAAGCAAAAAAGCCCTTAAGCAATAAAACCAGTGTCCAAGAAAAACATTTAGTTTGAAAAAGAATTGAAAAATGTAGCCTTGGAAGAACCACTGCTTACATGGGATTGTTCAACAAATTCCTGTTGTGTGAGGTTTGGCATATACTTTCTAAAAATATAAGCATCTGGGGAAGCGAGACAAAGCCCAGGTCTTGGACCAAATGAGGCACACAGCGTGAATCTGTTAGTGATTATATCCATAATGAAATATGTGCCCAAATTTAGCAGTGCAAAATCTAATACAATAAGAAAGCCCAGCAGGCATGGTCCTTACCATAATATATAGCCAACAGAGAAGGTACATATGGCGGTGAGTCCACTGCTCCTGCTGGGATACTGATGGTGCGATGTCCTCATCTCGATTAATATAAAGGGCAGAACCGTTGTGTGCTGGAAAAGAACAGAGACTAGGTGACACAGATTCCTATCACTGTCTCTCTATAGTTGTTTTTTTCTCCGGTAAGAGAATTCACACCGTACATTCCTAGGAAAGTGTCAGGCAGAAAGAAGTCTACAGCTCGCCAAAGAAGTAGAATGGACACAAAACCACGTAGTGCACCGATTGCTTCATGAATATTCTTCTTCTGTATCTTAGTTTTTGAAAAGTTATTTTATTTTATGTCCATTACAGAGAATTTTGAAAACAGAAAAATCTGTAAGAAAAAACTGGAACAAAAGAAAGGAATAACAATGACCACTGTTAACATTTTGATGTACGTCTCATTTTTTCCCCTCCCTGTTCATATTACTTATACATGGTTAAGATCATACTGTGTGTGCAATTCTGTTTTGGATTTTTATCAAAATATTGCAGCATGAGAATTTTTGATACATCATTTTAGAAATACTTCTAGAACATCGGTCTTGACCATAGCTTTGGAGAACTCCATGATATGTATATACCAAGATTTATTTAACTAATTCTTGTTCTTGGGTATCAAGATGTAAAAGATTTTCACTCTTTCATTTATTAAAAACATCATGATGAACACATTTCATAGAACTCTTTGTCTGAATGTTAAATTATGTTTTTGTTGTCAAAGGTTATATGGATTTTAAGGCTATTTAAAAATAATGCCAAATTATGTGTGCACAAGCAGCAGGTTAGCAATCAATGCCAAATTAGCTTCCAGAAAGGGTGTGCCAGTTTGGACCAGTAGTGCATGAATTTAGATATGATGTGTGAACACAGAACCCCAAGAAGCTGAGTGGAACGTCTCTTTGTTTTTGATCCAGTGGTTACTCTGGACACTAAGTTCATTGGAACAGGATGGAGATGAAATTTATCCCATCTATAGGTAAGAACAAAGGCAATTAAAATTCTTAAACCTTTCAAATATCCAAATACCCTTGTATTGAAATTTAGTGTACAGATACAAGAAACAAAGAGTTTCTAAGATAAAACTGGGTCAGGATATATACTTACCTTCTAATATTGGAGACTTTCTCAAGAGTATAAAGAGGAAGAACTAAAAACTGACCCATCAGCAGGTTTAAATTCTACTTAGTACTTCCTAAACAGCCATGAAATAATCTTTGTCTGGCTCTTCCTGTATTATTTGTGTATTCAAGGAAAAGGCAGGAAATTGAATATTATGATTTTCAAAGTCTAATGAGTATTTCAGCAAAATGAATCCAGGTAGCAAGTAGGCCTTGGCAGGCAAAAGGCATGTTGGGGATATCTAAGTGAACATCTTTGGAGCAACCTATTGTTTATATTTCTAGAAAAAAATAGAAAGACATGATTTGGTAAGAAATATTAAGACAGTAGACAATCTTTGCCTTAAACACTCTCCTCTAGATAACTGTGCTGACTGCGAATACATTAGTACTTTGAGTGCAGCATTCTGAGAAAATCAGGTGAGTGATTCTACAGTTGAATAGCTTTATATTTCTTTATCTTTTATCTTCTCTATTACTATTTTTTAAAAACAGTATAATTGGCTTTGAAGGAAGCCATGCAGGCCAAGGCACATGTGTGCTAATAAAGAGACAGGATGCATTTTAAAGACCAATTGGTTTTTCATTATAATCTAGTTACCTCAGATGACATTGGCCTGGAATGTTGCCAACACCTTGAGATGGCAACAACAGTTTTACAATGGTGCATTCATGTAAAATTCAAATATAACTAGCAATAAGGCTATGTCTTATCAAATCTTACACAGAAGAAAAATCAGATCAAACAGATCTGACCTTTACAATGATGATAATGCTGACCCTGAGGGCCCATGTGGGTTATAAATGACAATGACATTACTTTTAAATCACTAATATTAATAAATTGCTTAAGTGTTACCTCTTCATTCATTGCTCCAAATAAGGTAGAAAATCATCCATTTTTAATAAATATATATATTGGTTGTATAAATAACCAATCAGAATGTGCTTAGTTATTCAGTTGTCATTATTTTATCTAGAAAAGTAATAAAATATATGCATATCTTCCAGATAGGACATCTGATACTTGCTGATGATCAGATGTTGTATCTGGGAGAACCAGGATATACTTTAACCATTCCAGAAAGAAAATCAATTAGAAAAAGGAACATCTTTCTAGATCACTTCATCATTGGGACAAGAGCAACTTGTCCCATCAGTGACTTAACCACAGTCATAAGATCTTTTTGTGGCTAGCTGTATATGTACAGGCTTGTCCAGTAGCAAATCTGAGGAGAAGGTTTTTCTATGTCAAGGTAACAGCTTATCATTTGGAATTTTCATGCGATGAAGACTGTATATCTCCCTCTCTAGAAATTTATGATGCAAGTTATATTTATTTATTCATAGTACATATTAACAAATATAAATCAGTGTAAAATATTTACTGCAAATATAATGTTGCCTTACAGGTAATTAAAGTTTTGTGAACTAAAAAAATGATAAAAAACTATAAATGGTCCTGCTGAAGAATTAACCTTTAGCAGTTGAGTTATAACTTAAAATCTATAGCAAGAAGGGAGATAATTATTTTACAACTACAAGTACATAAAATCCAGTTCCAATCCATTCTCAGGCAACACTCTGCTTCAATGACTTAAGAATCAGGAGGGAAACATTTAACTCCAGTTAAAATGATACTGCATAAAAACAGCACTCTTATGTTTTGCTCACTGTGGTATCTGCGCACTTAAAAAAGAGCCTGGCACAAGAGAGGTACTCAGTCAACATTTGTTCAGATAATTTAATCTTCAAAACAACATCCTAAGTGGACATTATTAACACCATTCTGCAGATGGGGCAAAAAGGCTCAGAAAGGTTAATTATCTTGCTCTTTTTTTCTGCATTAGAATTATATTTTTAAAAGATATTACAGTTGAATAATGTTTCAATCAATGAACCTGTAGGAGTGCATAATTGCAGATCACTTACAGCATCTCCCAACAGATTGAAATTATTTTTTGATTGAGTCTCAAAATAAATAAAAAGGTCTTCACTGTAAAAAATGATTTTTGCTAAATATGTTTTTCCTGTGGTATGTTATCATGTCAGTAGTGATAAACAATAACATTAGCTAGCATAAAGTCAGAACTATTTTTAGCTTTTATTTTAGATTTGGGGATACATGTGAAGGTTTGCTACATAGGTAAACACATGTCATGGGGGTTCATTGTACAGATTATTTCATCACACAGGTATTAAGCCCAGTACCCAACAGTTACCTTTTCTGTTCCTCTCCCTCCTCCCAACATACTCCCTCGAGTAGACCCAGTATCTGCTGTTTTCTTCTTTGTGTTCGTAAGTTCTTGTCATTTAGCTCCCACTTGTAAGTGAGAACATGCAGTGTTTGGTTTTCTGTTCCTGCGTTAGTTTGCTAAGGATAGCAGTCTCCAGTTCCATCCATGTTCCTGCAAAAGATGTGATCTCATTCTTTTTTATGGCAGCATAGTATTCTGTGATGCATAGGTACCACATTTTCTTTATCCAATCTGTCACTGATGGGCATTTAGATGGATTCCATGTCTTTGCTATTGTGAATGGTGCTGCAATGAATGTTTACATGTACATATCTTTATGGTAGAATGATTTCTATTCATCTGGGTATATACCCAGTGATGGGACTGCTGGGTTTCATGGTAGTTCTACTTTTAGTTCTTTGAAGAATCACCATACTGCCTTTGACACCCCCACCAACAGTGTCCCATCAACAGTGTATAAGTGTTTCATTTTCTTCTCAACTTCACCGGAATCGGTTATTTTTTCAAAGTCAGAACTTTCTAATGACGACAGTTACAGATGGCTGGAAGCGAGCCTAAGAATGATCTGTTTCTCTTTCCCTAAACACAAATACCATTTACAACTTACAGTATTTTCAGGTAGATGTAGCTCCACTTTGGATAAACAAGAAGGTTACAAAGTCTGGTAACCAGAGGTGGCTCGTAAGAATTGTTTGGACTGTTCTCTGCAGTACTTTGTCAACAGAACGATTCCCCATGAGCTGAGTTAAAAACAAGGCTTCACTTGTTTGAAGTGCTAAGTAAGATGAAGGGTTAACAGCGCAAGGAGCAAAGCTTTGGTCTTCCATATAAACTCCGCCCTACAAAGTACTGGTCTAGGATATAAGCAGTGAATCTATCCCAAGCACTATCATCAATTTTAGCTAGTTTTAATAGGGAGCTATAATTTGGAAGATTGCATCAAAAAACCGAAGCCTAAATCTATCCTGATTTGTTGCATCCTTTGTGTTTTTTTTAATGGGATCTTGGTGGGTTGCCCATGTTGGAGCGGGGTGAACTGACTCCACTGCCGTGAAGGCTGTGAACTGACTGGCCTCCCATGGCAAAAGTCTACTTACAGAAGAGAGCCACAAGGTGGTGTCACCTCCACACAGAGCAGTCCTCACACCTGAGAGAGGGCTGGATTTGCGGAAGGACCCATGACTAATTACCATGTGAAGACCCTGAAGCAGATGGGACAAGACAAAGGGCTTTGGGAGAAGAGGCTCAAAGGAAGACAGCAGTATGATGAAGTGGAAAGATTAGGAAGCTGGCATCTAAGATCTGGTTCTGATTTTGTCCTTCCTCACTCTCAGACTTGCAGGTTCTCACGCATGTGTGCAACTTTGTATTACTCTTTGTAAAATGAGGCAGTTGGATTAAATTAGTGCTTCTCATGAAGAGCTAATGAGTTTTGCTATAACACATGACAGGACTGACCCACCTATGTTTTGGATGGTAGACACAGTGCTAGGGCCCATGAAGATGTTTTAGTTTCTTTTAGAATCAGAAGAAAAAAATGAACTTTCAGAGTTGAAGATTAAATTCATCTGTATACCAATGATGTCATAAAATATCACATACATATACTTACACACATACACATTAATGTAAGAAGGGAATCACTAACACAAAGTCCCTTAGACTCACAAAAGCATTCTGTGGCCCTGTCCA